GCTCACTACCATGTGCTCTCCATGGTGCTACTGATTGTCCCATCACCAAGGCAACCAGCAGGGCTCTTGGTGGGGGGGTGGGAGGAGGTAGTACATGCAAGTCTTCTGAGCTGATCTGCATTAAATGTATTTAATCAAACGCCAATAAGCCATTGTGCTGAAGCATGCAGTGAAAAGCCAGCTATACATCTGCAGTGTAAACAAAGCTGGAGTCTGTCTGGCTCCCTACTCCCAGACCTATTTTGCCCACTGCTCCCAGGCCCATTCTGTCTGCACAAGGGAGCTGAAAGGAATAAGATTTCATAGACGTTAGGACTGGAAGTGGCCTCATGAGATCATCAGGTCCAGCCTCCTGCCCAAAGGGCAGGAAGTCAGCTGGGGTCAGATCACCCCAGCAAGATAAGCATCCAAGGAGAAAAAGCCTGGGAGAATTCTCTCAGATCATATGAACATGCATGTGCAGCCTTGCTGTTGTTAACCCATTGGGGTATGTATATTTCAACCCTTCCACTTCTGTTATTAGTTGCTTACATATTTATCTTGTAACTTATAGTCTTATCATTACCTTCTGTTTTGTGACCTTTAAGAATTGGACATTTTTATGTTTTATCATTTTTTTTAACTACTTTTAATTCAGATGGGGGATGGAGGAGACAACCACTAGGCACAACTGGAAATAAGGACTGAGCACCCATGCAAAAGCCCTTCCCAGAACCAGGCACTGCATTTCACTCATCTGATCTGCACCAGAAGGGTTAGAAAAAACTTAATCACACATTAACCCCTGGCAGCATTCACCAGTTGGCCAAGCTCAAGAGGAAATCTGTTATGCTTCTTGGTAGTATGCTGTGGCAGAAAGCCACCTTGGTTTCTCCCGGAAAATCTCTGCCCTGTGACACTGTGATTAAAATCTCTGTGCTGTGACCATTTGATTAGGGTGGGACCAGCAGAGGAGACCACACCCTCAGCCTGTCTCTTTAGGTAACTTGAGATGGCTGCATTCCTGAGGGAAGGGGGAAACCTGCTCCCTCTGCCTACATGACTTGCATCACCTACCTGGGTAAGGTGTTTCTACCTGGTGGGTTGGAATCTGCCTGGCAACTAGTGATGTATTTCAGATGGGTTGGCTGACAGCCAACCGGAGCTGGCCTCCACGGGCCCAGGTGTATGAGGTCACAGGGGATATATAAGTTAGGACTGCCCAGAAGGCAGGCTCTTTGGCCATGAGGTGAGACTGGAGGCATGGAGGGGGGAGTTCAGAGAAGTTGTACCATCTAAATAGCTTCTCCCCCAAAAACTCATGAACAAGGAACAGCCAGATGCTAGAAAGGATCTCACCAGCCTCTGGATGAAGCATGTGAGTAAGCTACTCGAGATCTGAGAGATATCTAGCTGGCAGTAACTCAGATGTGTGATCAAAAGGCTACCACAGCCAGACTGTTTGCTCTTTAGGATTTCTAAGATATTGCTCAATC